TTAATGTATTTCAATTTAGATATATTAACTATTACCAGAATTTAAAATTAATATTTAATTAATTCGTGTTTTATAATGATTTTATAATTACCAATTTCTAATATAAAAAACAATTGTTCTAAAGTACATTTCGTGATTTTTGAAACTGCAGAATATCGATTTTTCGAGAAATGGAAAATATCGATATATCGATATACGCAGTAAATTGCCGCGAATTTCAAATTTAAAAAGATCGAAACTTGTTACGATCGTCGACACGAATGCATAAAAATAGTAAAAGAAAACAATCATTTTTTCTATATAGTCTTTCACATTTTCCAAATAAAATTGATCTGCAATAATTGCTCTCATAATGTTATAGTTAACAACACACACACACACAGTATTATTATTTTATACGATTAAATTCACTTTTTGTATTCGAAATAACGCGCGTTAAAAGTAAAATGTAAGAAGCAAAAAAACTATCGAAAATGGATCAATATTACGGGAGAGCAAACATATTTGAATATTTATTATTAGCAATATAGTTTTGTGTTGCATTATGTACATATGTTATATTGATATTGGCATTTTTGTACATCGCAGAGCTGCTTTTTGTCAGAAAGCAAGATTCGTGATATTTTTGTTGTTCTAAAAAGGCAGGGACGAAAAACCGATATTACCTTCGATTGATTCCGAGAGAGAAAAAGAAAAATATTTTACATGTATACTTAACTATATTATACATATACTTACTATAAATATACACATAGAGACGTATATCACATATGCTGGTTAACATGTATTGATATTTTAGTTGTTGAAGGAAAATCAAATGAATTTATGTTAAACGTGCATATGTTTTTGAATACATTGTTAAACCGCATAAGTAATATCGTGTTCTCATCGTAATGGCCATATAATGTTTTCTCTGAACAATTATATAATAAGCATTTATATAACAAGCACAATGACATCGCAGGGAGAGAACATTAAAAACATATTATATTAAAACGCATACAGCAAACTTAATTTGCAATTTTGTACAATGCACAAACTCGTACTTTTCACAATTATAACGTAATCAAACATATTTTGTAATTATTTTTTCTTTCATATTTTCGAAACAATATTTTAGTAGCTTTCTTCCCACAAAATAACAACATAATTAAGAAACGCATTTAAGAAATTAGAAGAAATTGCATACTTATTTAATTTTCTGGTTCCTTGTTTCCATTCCATTCGTATAAATGAAAATGAACGCAACAGAGTACGTGTAAATAATAAAGAATTTGAATAAAGGTTGGAGGGGTTGTTGTTCGTTGCTGGGAGGATCCTGTAATTGTAATTTATTTTATTATTGAACGTCTTTGACAGAGCACGATCGGCTTAGTTTTTATTTATTTTTATTCCTTTTTCTGGACTTTTCATAACCGATTGTCATTCCGTGCTTTCATTGAACGACGATCATCATTCGAACGATCATTGATTAAATAAGTTTCGATATTTGTTTTAATTTTTTGTTCTTCTCTATTTCGTCCATCTAAATCGTCCATCATTTTCATACTTTTACGTCATACGATATTCCATCGTTTATCTATAACGTGTGGTCTCACTTTTTCACATCATACTTTATTTCACGTTTTAATGTGAATTAGTGTGATTAAATGCAGAGGCACAAAAGGCACGGGATTCATGTTTTAAGGATGTATGTAGTATCCTGCTTTAGTGGTACCAAAGCGTACCAAAAATTTGTTAGTTACATCCGTAAACGTTTTTAATTTCTTTCTCTTCTTCAATATCTCTTTCTTTCATAATTTTAATTTTCTCTCTCTCTCTCTCTCTTTCATTATTTTTTTTTCTTCTAAGGAAATATTATATGCACATACAAGCACTTCAAATGGAAAATAATTGTATATATGTAAATATTTATATATATATATGCATATCTCCATTTATACCACCACGCGCAACATACACGCGCAACAAGTTTTGGCGCGTAAGCGCTCGTAATTTTGAAACGTTCTCGAGAAAGAAGAAACAAAAATGATTGTAAAAAATTAGAACTTAAAAATAAGTAAGAAGCGAGTTAGGACGAGTTGCTTCAAATATTTTCGATACTTTCAAAATGATAATGTCAGACACACACTCGCAATGTTGTTGTTCTTATTGTGGGCTTTTTAAATTTTTCCTTCTTCTTATTTTCCTTTTCTTTAAAGTTTGTTTTCTAGAATGTATATATACATGCATTATTTTACTGTAAAACGATTGCAAAGAGTTTCACTTTTTGTCTACTGTCGGGAGAATGAACAATCTCATCTCTGTAAAACTGATATATAACAATTTGTATATTATGATTTATAATATAGGGGCACCTGTCAGTCTTGTAAATATTTACGTAAAAACAAGTTCGAAGTTGTTGGTTGTATGTTCTAATTGAATTGTATAATTATTTTTATATTTTGTCTCTCTATTTCTTCATTTTTTGTGTTACTTCTTTTTAATCCCCCTCATTAGAACATTAAAAAATTATTTTGGTACACGAGTGATATTTTGTAGTATGAATTAGAGATTAAAAATCGTTCATTTTGTTTGTTTAAATTATATAAGAATATATATTTTTACGAACAGAACAACTTTTATACAATCACAAACGAAGAAAAATTCGAGACTAAGAAATAATAAACCTATATTGAAATTAATTATATGTTAACAATGAATATTTAAATCGAGTTATATTATATATATATATATATCGTTTCGATAATGTTTAAATATATATAGAATTATTTTGTATTATTATATTTATCATTTTGTTACAGAAAACTACAACCTGTATGACATCGTCTCATTATGTCTATAGTTTTTCTTTTTCAATTAATTAATGAAATAGGAAGTAATAAATATACTTCGATATTAATATTCATTCTCATAATCAGTCAAAACATGACATGTTGGGTATTTTTTCTTTTCTTTTTTTTTTTTTTTTTTTTCAATATGCATCATCATCATTATCATATGCATGTGTTTCTTGTACTAATGTAATATATTGAAAATTATTTTCCCTTTTAATTGTTGAATGGAAACTTTTTCTTTTTTTTTTTTCTTTTTTTTTTTTTCTTAAACGAAATTACACAGTTAAAGGTGAAGTGTGATTGTCATAAATTATAAACATATTAAAAGTGAGAGATTTTCATTTTTTTCTTCTTCTTTTTCTTTTAATTCACAAATATTTTCAATGCACATAATAATAATAATGCAATAAGGTAAAATTTTTTTCATTCCATTTTTCAAAATAACTAAAAAGTATGATATCTCACTTTGAATATTATTACACGCATTATTTTCTTTTTTTCTTTTTTTTTTTTTTGATATATTTCTGGTGCTGAACTACACAACTATAACGAATATTTACATTTTTCAAAACAGAAGAGTCATATCTTTTTTTTTTTCCCTGATTTTAATTATTAGCAATCCTTGCAAAAATTAACGTGCCTCATTCTCGTTCGAAAATTTTCTCTTTTGTATATTATTGCACCTATTAATTAATATTAGAAAGAAAATGTCCAAACTCTTGTTAATAAACTTAATTTTATATTGATTACACGCAATTCTGTATGTACGTATGTATGTATGTATGTATGTATGTATTTATGTATGTATATATATTTATTTGGGTTTGTTTGTTTGTTTCTTTCCTTCTTCCTTTTTGATAGTTAATATTCTTTCTTTTCTGTATACGCAACACATATGGAAAAAAGTTCAGTTAGAAAAATTTACAAAGTACTTCAATTCATATGATTATTATAAGTATGTGCAACATAATATTATATTAGACAAATATTTTTTCACTTTTTTATTATGTTGTTTTTTTTTTTTTTAATTTTAATTAAGGCCCCAGTTTATTTAGCTCGGCTATATCCTTTCCACGTATAAAATGAAGACAAAATTATTTTGCTTATTATATCCAACTATATTCTCCCGCTACACCATATAACATAGAAATATATTTGTTTTTTAGATAAATCAAGTTATTTAAGACAAATTAATTTTAAATACATCAAATACATTTTGTTTTACTTTTCTTGTCACTGTTACTTCGGACCATTGATTCTAAATAATTATTTGTCCTTAATTATAAACTCAGTATACCTTAGCAAAAAATGAAGAATACATAAGACAAATATTGTATTCTTATTAATTGTATTACCACTCGTACCTTAAAAATTGTTTTATTTCTTTAATCTCAATCATGTGATTTTGTAAATGATGATTTAATGAAAATTATTCACAAAATACTGTTCATCATGGATATAATACTCAAAATAATATTTCTTCTTATAGATAAGCTAAGGTATACTATTCAACTAGTATATGCCTCACTTTTATATTATTGAAATAAAATTATTATTATAATTTATAAAAGCGATCAACTTTGTATTGTCTGACACAAACTTAAATTGAAATTTGTTTTAAAAAGAATTATTATAATATCTACTGGAAACAAAAAGAAAGTATTGAAATTATCCCCCTCCTCTTGGCTCATTTGAAACATAAATATTAAAAATCCTTAGAATCAATATGTATATTTCATAACTAGTAACTTATATCACGTTAATTAAGGCAATATTACGAAAGACATTTACAAGCATACTTGAAATTAAATTTTTCCATTTACAGCAATTTGACAATGCCCCCGTTTTGTGTGTGGCTCTCATTTTATATTTTGTTATCCATTATTTTTTTTGTAGCTGTACCGTAGCAGTAATATAATGATAATGCTAATGATAACAATAGTAATAGTAGTAGTAATTGTAGTTACAGTAATAGTAGTAATAGTAATAGTTGTAATAGTAATAGTAATATTAATAGTAATGGTAATAATAATAATAAAGACAAAAAGTAATAATATAATAATAATTATAATAATAATAATAATAATATAATAATAAAAATAATAATAATAATAATAATAATAATAATAATAATAATAATAATAATGATCAAAATAATGATCATGATATTGACAATGACAACAGTGATGATAATTACAACAATGATGATGGTACTAGTCGTGAAATGAATTTAATAACAATAATGGTGAGTATGAAATTTGTTGAAATACTAAATATGATAATGACAATAACGAGGGCAATAGTCAATAGTTATATTGTTTTAGTGAAATTGTTAGATAAAATTTTGATAAGAGTATGATGATAAGAATAACAATGACAATGAAGATGGCAGTAACAGCAGCATTAATAGAAATAAACGGCAATTGTAAATTACAATAGAAATTGTTTTAATAAATTGATGGTAGATCGATCAATCAATTGAAATTTTTAGCAGGGTTTTTTTTCTCACAAATTGCAGTTTAATAATAGAATAGAATAATAAAATTACTAATCAATAATAGTATAAGGCAATATGTGGAGGATTTGGCCTTCAGAACTGGGCATAGCCAACATCTGGTGCCATTCACGAAATTCTGTACCAGATTGGTTTTGCTCACTGTTTAACGTATTTGAATCTGACACTTCTCTATCTGTATTTGACGTTATATTGTTACTAGTGAGAGATGATAATTTTGGTTGAAAGTTTCCATTCAGTCCTTCTATTTGCTGATTATGTAATCTATCAAGGTCCTCTTCAGTTATTTCTCGAGGTGGATACACTGTACTATTTTGATCTTCATCGGGTTCATTTTCACAATCACTCCAGTTTATCGAATTTAGATCTAATGGTGGTAACTTAGCCAATATCTCCTCAACCGATAATTCTTTTTGTGATCGTGGTGGTTGGTTTTGCGTACTTGAATTTTCGTCGTACACTGCACTTGTTTCTTGACACTTGGATGATAATTCACGACAGTTTTCTGTAGATTGTAACCGACTTTGTAAAGGAGTTTCAGAAACTGTACTTTTATGAGATGTATTGTTAGGAGTACTACGCAGGAACTTGGATACTTGTTCATTATTACTCCTCAAAACATCTTCCATACTTGGTGGTTCTACACTTTGACTAGGTAGAGCATTTGAATTAATGCTAGAATTTGAGCCACGCGCTTGTAAATCTGCCAGCAGTTCTTGCGTCGTTTTTAACTTAGGATTTCTCGAAATACTGGCTAGTTTTTCCTTAACACGATCCTCTACGTATGGCTGCTTCTTTACAGACTTACTGCCTTTTTTTCTTCCACGTTTTTTCGGGCCTGAATCGTCAGGATCAGTGGGAGATTCCACAAAATGATGGGAAATTCGTTCTTTCAATGTGGGGCTAGGCACTTGCGAATTTAAATTACCACTTATGTTTTCGCCATTCAAACGCTGTCTTTTGACTAATGGTTCACATTCTGTTATTGAGTTTGATTCGCGATCTTGATAATTACGTTGATCCTTACAACCATCTTTTCGAAGTCGTTTATTGGAACTGTGAGTCCGTGGCACTGCTTCCATCAAATGGTTCTGACTCGAAGAGCCATGAGTGTGAGGTACATCCGAAGTTATCCGGTGGTTGCTAGTAAGTGTAATTGACTGCTTGTTTGAAGATGTATTAGGAGACCGTGAATGATCACTATGCACTGATAGAACTGGGCTGATGACCTAGAAAAATTCATTTATGTCATGGCAAAAATAATACACAAAATTGAAGGACAATCAAATAATCTTATCTGTAAATAAATTCAATTCTTTTTTATAAAGGATATATAACAACAGGTAATACAAATGAAAAACTCACTTTTAAAGGAGTAACATCCCTTAAGAGAGGACTTTGCGGCTTTAAGGATCTTACAGCAGGACTTTGTGGTTTGAAACATCTTAAGGCTGGACTATGAGGTTTAGCTCCATTTAGGGCAGGCGGTGCTGTATCGGCAGGTGTTGGTTGTGGTGTAGAATGAGGCGATGGTAAAACCATATCCCTCCACCGTCGTACCAAGTCTTTGGCACGTTTGGCCAAGACTTCATTACTGGTCTTTCTTCGCAGCTCATTAATGTATTTACCAAGCCTTGTAATCTGTAACATTTCAAATTAATTAATATTTTACAAAGGTTATACATTACATTACATAAAGATTAAAAAGATATTCACATACCTCCAGTACTTCTTTGGTGATCGGCGTCTTTTCCAGGGCCGTAATGACTTCAACAACAGCTGCCATGTCAACGACCTACAAAATATATTAACAGTTTACAAAAATCACAGTTTACAAAAATCACAGTTAACAAATCTAAGCATAAATATATAATTCTAAGTAATAGCATTATTTTGTATCAAAATGCAGAGTGAAACGTTGTTGTAAATACTAAAATATATTTATATTTAATATTAAAAATGATTCACACACACACACACACACATTGGGGTTCCCTAGTAAAACCTCTAAAAGAGATTCAATGTCTTTTTAATATTAAATACACATGTATTCAATATTTTTCAATATTTTGTACTACTAGGGTTGTTACAACTATTGACATATTTACATCACCTCTTCTTTGCAACAATTAATTATTGAAAAATTGAATGGATATATGTAACACTTAAAATAATAATATTAATAATATCATTTTTGGAAATATCAATAAAAATTGATAATAAATTAATAGTTTGAAGAAAGCTTATGATACTAGGATGCACGAACTAGATGTAATAAAAGTATGAGATCTGACAAACAGAGAACATCTGTCGTTATCTATCGAGATAAATCAACGAATATATCAAATGGAAGGGTTTGACACGTGTATGTAGGAATATGTTTATTAGATCGATCAGGTAAGACTTGCAAGAACATGAACAAAACGTAATCAGATCGAATCATTACGAGTTAAGGTATCAATATGTCAACGTTAAACGACAAAAGAAACCAATTGCATGAAACAAATAACTATTTTTTTTTATAAATACATAACATATGAACGTAATTTTCATTTCGAAACGAACCTAACTATCGTTGTTTAAATTTTCGTCTAACAGAATAGAGATACAGTGTAAGAAAAAAAAAGAAAAAAGGCGACTGAGAGAAAGAGAGAGAAAAAAAAGAGAGAGAGAGAGAGAGAAATAGATAGATAGAGAAAGAGAGAGAGAGAGAGAATTATATATATATATATTTTTTATATGCATATATATGTGTGTATATATATATATATAGATTATAGATATATATATATGTATATTAGAATCATGTGCAATTGTGCAGGAACATCGTACGTCGGACGTAGGATATTCGTTAACCGTGTCGACGATGTAATAGCGATTAAAGGTAAATATGTATTAGGATGAGGATAAAGTAGGGAAGTTAGTTCAGACAGAAATGGGGAACTATAGGTGAAACGAACATCGTGCGTATCTCTTGGAGACGTGTTTTTATAGTACAGAGTACTACGAGATACTACATAGGTAGAATCAAAAATTGTATGCGTAGATGATTTAGCATGAAAGAGGGAGAGAGAGAGAGGGAGAAAAAGAGAGAGAAAGAGAGAGAAAAAGAGAGAGAGAGAGAGACGGAGAGAGGTTAAGCCTCCAGGTTGTCGAGAACGCGTTCACGGATGAATATGCAAGGGAACACACACAATCTTGAGACGGTAAAGGGGTAAGGGTATATGTTTCGTGGAGCGATATCCACACATAGGCGATACAAGTAAGATAGATCACTAACACGCGTAACCGCTTATACACTACACTCTAGACGGCTCTCGCGCACGCCACTGGTACAGGCACACGGCGCACGGGGGATCGAGAGTGGCCCGATAGCCGTTTGCGCGAGCGGACGGACGGCGCTTCGCGGATTCACTTACATTGTATTCCTTGTCAAGAGATTTTAACAATCTTTCGGTGAGATCCGTGCAATATCTCTGCATCGGTGGGGCACACTTTGGGCCCTCGCGGGTTAGTTTAGGTTAGCGTAAAATCTGCTCCACGCGTACGAGTGTCGCGAATACGAGAGCACAAGGAGTCTTGCAATGGCGACTACTGAACTGTGTTCTGTTCGCATGCCCTCCCTGCCTCCCAAGTGTGCCCTAGTCGAGGCCCCAGCATCGTCCCTAGCCCCACGCCGCCTCATATCGCCGGAGGAGCGCTACTAGTTCCTTCACGCGGTTGGACAAGCTCTCCTTACGGACCGCCCTTCGCCTCTCTCTCCTATCCCTACCTACGGTGCCCCCAAACGACTAGACCGATCGTGGTGCCCTCTTTCCTCTTTCTCTTTTATCTACTCTATCTATCTTTCTTTATCGTTCTCTCTCTCTCTCTCTCGTTCTTTCTTTCTCTCTCTTTCTCTCACTCTCTTTCCTCTCCCCTCTTCTTTCTTCCACTTTCATGAATGCACACACAACGATGTCCATCGTTGCCGTTATTCCTCGTCGTAACTTTCTCATCTACATTGTAGACACCTTGAACAAGCCATCTCAGTTTTCTACCCGCTTTTCGCCGTTAATCCGTACGGTTCCGTTTATCTCATATTCATATTTTATACTTCAAAACGTACTTCGAACATATTTTCGAGAGAGGTGTCTGATCATTAAGGCAACTTTCAATCGTCTTCCTCCATTATTCTCGATGCTACCTGATTTTATGTGATGTAATAATTTCATCGATCTTTAAAGTTATAATCCTGTCTTTTGACAATAGTTCCGTCACGGTATATTAGCTTTTTGTTATTTTTGTTATTTTTGTTATTTCGTCTGTGCAACAATGACGCTTGTCGAATTTCGTGAACGAAACAAAAAATGTGTTTTTTTTCTTAAGACACGTCATTCACATTCATTCTTTCGCACTTCCTCAAATATTTCTGTCCTTTCGAAAGCTGTTGGTGTATAGTCAACGGTACTTCGTAGATTCTACAGTTCTTGAAATCTAGATTTTTCATTTTTTTTTCTTTATATTTCATTTCCTCGTACGTTGTTGAATAATGAAACAGTGTCATTTAATAAAGGAAAAAAAGGAACATACATATGCCTAAAAAATATATCATATACTGTTCGTTGTCAAAAAAAAAAACATATATATGATCGATTTTTTATTGTATATTAAGATTTTACTAATTACCCTATGTGCAATTGGGCGTGTAACGCACGATTAAATATGCAATTGTATTTGTGTTCCAATACGACAGGCAAGAAGAAACATGTCTATCATAAAGGAATAAAAAAATCTTATGAATATTCTTAAAAAACTATATGCGATATCTTTATTATTATTATTATTATTATTATTATTATTATTATTATTATTATTATTATTATTTAATTATTTTGTGTATTTATTTATTTATTTCAAATAAAGTATAGCATATGATTCGTTAAATTTATATTCTGATTATAATTCGTTTCGAAATAAGCTTTCGATATTTTTCTACTTTTCTCGAACGAATTAATATCAAACTACGATACTTTTATACGCAGCTTTTGATGTCCAATGTACATATATATATAACATAGTAAATGATACGCAACATTTTTATTGCATTGTTGTGAGGATGTGATTGGTTAAACGTTAAACGCTGTGATTGGTTGAAATTGAAATGCAGTTGATATGTAAAATGAATGGGTTATGAAATTAGATTGGGCATATCGTATTAACCAATCCTTGAGCAAGATTAATGTACTTATAAAAATAAAATTTATTAAAAATTTGTGTAAAATCATAAGTGAATATTATTGATTAATAATAAAATTGTATTAAACTATAGACATATGGTTTTATTATTTTTTTAAAAGCATTCTCGCTTGTGATTGGTCGATAATCCCATTGGCTTAATTTGGACAAGTCTACTTTTAAACAAAATAACTATTGTGTTTATTCCACATTATTTCCACATTTAAAAATTACTAATTGATAATAAATGAAAAATACAAATGCTTTTTAAATATTTATTTCTCATGTAATGATAATTATTTTAATTATTAAAGTGTATATATAATTTAAAGTTATATTATTATTTTTTATTATACAATTACTTAAACTGTCAAGTTGTTTTTAGAAAGCGAAAACTAACTAGATGGACTTTAACCTGATTATTATTTATGAGATGTTTATTGCGATATCATTTTATTAAATGCTGATTAACGAAGTTGGTTGACTCGAAACTTGTACGTTTTATTATTTTAGATCTATTCTCTTGAAGAACACTAATAAGAATGGCAGAACTACGTTTTGATAATCGTGTTGTTGTGGTGACAGGAGGAGGTGCAGGTATTTAAAATTTAAAATTAATTATAATTATGAGATCATAATTGTTTAAATAATTATTTGTATGAATTTTTTCGTTACTGTATGAAACTATAAATAGTCTATTTTTATTCTAACAGGCTTAGGTCGTGCCTATGCATTGCTATTTGCTTCAAGAGGTGCTAGCGTTGTAGTAAATGATTTAGGAGGTGGACGACACGGCGATGGTAAAAGTAGTCAAGCTGCAGATAATGTTGTAGCTGAAATTAAACGAAATGGTATGGTTTCCTTTTTTGCTATTCAATAATTATTGTTTTTTATATATTCTAGCTTACGTAACTTAAAGCGAATGATAAAATAGCGATAGTTTTTATATCATAAAGTAAAGTAAATGAATAGATAAATACAATATTTATGATAACAAAAGTCATATATAAATATTTATATCTTATTGTTATGTTACAATTTTGTAAAAAAACTTTCTCTTTTTAGGAGGAAGAGCTGTGGCAGATTATAATTCAGTCGTGGATGGTGCTAAGATCATTAAAACTGCAATCGATACGTTTGGACGTGTTGATGTACTTGTTAACAATGCTGGTATCTTGAGAGATAGATCTTTTGCTAAAATGACAGACGACGATTGGGGTTTGTATACAATTATTTAATAATTATAAATTTATAAATATACGAAGATATTTTATTTCGATGAAATTTTTGTAGATTTGATACAAAGTGTACACGTTAAGGGTGCATTTAAAACAACTCAAGCAGCATGGCCATATTTCTGTAAACAAAATTATGGTAAAGTTATTTTCACCACAAGTAATAGCGGATTATGCGGAAATTTTGGTCAATCTAATTACAGTACGGCAAAAATGGGTTTGGTTGGTTTGACAAAAACTTTGGCCATTGAGGGTGCTAAAAAAAATATAAGCGTTAATGTAATTGTGCCAACTGCTGCATCCAGACTTACTGAAGATATTCTTCCTCCTGGTAAAGAGAAATTGTTGTTGTTGTTGTTTTAATCTTTATTTATAGAACAAAAAATGAATTATTTATCGTTATTTTTAGATCTATTCCAACAGTTAAAACCAGAATTAATAGCTCCAATAGTTTTTTGGTTGTGTCATGAGAAATGTAATGAAACTGGATCCATTATCGAATCAGCTATAGGTTTGGTAAGAAAATGTAAGTGTAAAAAATTAAGCTAAAGTATAATAATAATAATTATTTAAGAATGACATAGTTTAAATTTATTAATATTTTCTAGGTGATATCGTTCGTTCGCCGGGAAGCGTCGTGCGAAAAAATTTAAATGATTTGGTTACACCTGAAAATGTACAAGAAAAATGGTCAGATGTCGTTGATATGACTTCTGCTAAACGTTCGAATAATATGGAGGTAAAATATTTAAAATAATTCATTGAATTAATATTTAATTCAATGAATTAAATAAGAATATATTTATTTCTCTATATATACAGAATATATTTATTTCTGTCCAAAGGTTAAAAAATTAATGCAAACGATAACACGTAGCTAAAATTAAATTTATAATACTTAGAAAAAAAAAAAGAAACCATGAATTCTCGATTTTATAAATATGTTTCTTCTTTTGTCCATCATAGAAATGTTACAAGGTTACAGTTTTCTTAAATCTCTTTTATTTTCTCTTTAGAAATCCATAATATAAAGACCTTTTCTTTATTTTTTTTAAATACCCGAAAAGCCCTTTTCAACTTTCAACGCTTTGTTATTTTTTTCTTCAATTCTTTTCACTAGCTTAAACTTTCTAAATTTTTTTTTTTTATATAGTCTATAGCCTTCCTCTTTGTATTCTTTATTCTTTTTTCTTCCGATATACCTGCATCTCATCCTTGTGTCCACATTTCTAAATAATTAATGTATAACTGTTAATATTATATCTTAAATTTTTATATCTTTTTAAATTATATGCAGGAAATAGTAGGAGATTTGATGAACGTTATCGACGAGTTACAATCTGGCGTTTCTACTAAAAAATCTGTAAGAAATAAATTGTATATTATTCATGAAATTATTCATCATTATTTATTTGATTAATAATTTTGATCATTTTTTCTATCAGGGTGATGCTATATACAATAATTATAATAGTCAAGATGCTATACTGTATGCACTTGGAGGTATGTTTATATAACAATTGCATTTAATTTGTATAAAAAATATGCAAATTTTAAACACGTAAATATATTTATAAAAATGATCATTTTAATTATAGTTGGAGCAACCGTTCAAAATCCATCCGATTTACGTTATTTATATGAAAATCATGAGAATTTTTCACTTTTACCAACTTACTATGTTATTTACGGTGCCGCCGGATGTATGACAAGTTCAATTTTAAATGACTCTATACCTCAGATACAGATAAATCCAACAAATGTATGATAACATAAATCATTCTTTTATTTATACGAATTATTCTTAATTTAATTTAATATTTTTAGGCATTACACGGAGAACAATATTTAGAAGTTTTCAAAAAATTACCTACAGAAGCAAAAGTAAAGACAGTCTATAAAGTTGTAGATGTTGTTGACAAAGGAAAAGGAGCAGTTATCATAGTTCAACGTATGTTTATAATTAAATATACATTTAAACATGAATATATATAAATTATATATTTAGATTTGAATAATAAATTATTCAATGATAGTATTTAATAAAAAATAAATATTTTTTTACAGATGACACCTTTGATGCTGTTAGTAAAGAACAATTAACTACTGGACAGATATCAATTTATATAGTAGGTGCAGGTGGTTTTCAAGGCAAACGTACATCTCCACATATTGTACCAACTATTGATCCACCCAATCGCAAACCAGATGCATTTGTTACTCAAAAAACTTCTGAAGATCAAGTATACTAATTCTATACATTTTATATATATATTTTTAAAATTATTATTCAAATATGTTTAATAATTAAATAATAAATATATTTCTTAGGCAGCGTTATATAGACTGAGTGGAGATGCAAATCCTTTGCATATTGATCCAAATATTTCTGTAATGGCTGGATATAAAAAACCGATTTTACACGGATTATGTTCTCTTGGATTTTCTGCAAGACATGTTTTAAATACTTATGCTGATGGTGATCCAAGTTTATTTAAAGCAATCAAAGTTAGTTTTTAATTCTCTACTTCTTGAATTTTTAATTAAATCATTTGTATTTTTCATTAAGACATATTGTTTTAATAAATTATATTTTTTTTTCTTTTTTAGGTAAGATTTTCTAAACCAGTATATCCAGGAGAAACGTTGCGTACCGATATGTGGCAACAGGGCAATAGAATACATTTCCAAACATCTGTTGTAGAAACGAATACTGCAGTTATTACTGGTAAGTATAAAAAATTTCTAATGAAATTCGTAGAGAAAGTTTGTCTATGTCTCTAATATGAAATATCGAAATATTAGGAGTTTTATACCTGCGTAGCTACAGGGGGTCAAAAATGTTTACAATGCTAAAGAATTTTAATGTTATTTTCACTTGGGTTAATGTCTTTTACAAAATCTCGGAATTCTTTTGAAAAATCCAGCTATTGTATTATGTTTTCACTTTTATGGTGAACATCTGTTTTTTCTTTTTATAACAGAAGGTTCAACCTTAGTCATTTCTTAAGATTTTACTTTGAGTTATTTATTCTAAAGTTTTATTCTTAAAAAATACATGTTTTCTTCAAAAGAAAATTTTTGTGCCTAACACCAGGAGTACTGAAAGTTCTTTTTATTTGAAATGAATCAGTGTTTAAGAATGCACGTTAAATTTCTCTTTTCAAGGATATCATTCTTTTTCTAGGTTCTTACATTGATTTATTCGATGTAAAATCAAAAAAACTACCGCTTCCAACAAATTTAACTCCAACGACAATTAATTCTAATAACAATGATTTACAAAGTAATGCTATTTTTGGTGCAATGAGGGACTACGTTAAAGCTAATCTTGAACAAGTGAAGAAAATTAATGCAATCTTTCTTTACAATATTACTGTAAAAGGAAATCCGGCAGCTGAATGGAGTATGTTAAAGACACAATATAAATTTATAAAAATGAATAATTTCAATTTATTATATTATTTATATATTGTATTATACGATGCATTTTCTTTTAATAGCTTTAGATTTAAAGAAAGGTGATGTGTATAAAGGAAAACCTACATCAGGAAAAGTTGATACCACTTTAACTATAGAAGATAGTGATATGATGGGCATAGTAAGTTCTTTTTTTTTTATTTACTATGTATTCGATAATATATTGATAATAATAATAATAATAATAATAATAATAATAATAATAATAATTAATATTATTATTTTTTACAGGCAACCGGAAAAATAAATCCTCAACAAGCATTTATGGTAGGAAAACTTAAAATAAGCGGTAATATTATGTTGACTCAAAAACTTAAAACTCTTATGGAAACATACAAAGCTAAATTATAATCTCAATTTGTAATTGAGCTTATGAATAATTTATTAGTTTCATTATTTTGGGATTTGTGGTAGACATGACCGATGTAGCATTTACGTTAAGGTTTAATTCGTTTCTTTTTTCTTTAATTTCGTTGCATATTAAATGATGACAAGGATTACCGTTTTTCTCATTGCATATAATTTTAATTATTTATACAAATTTTAAATCAAGTCATTAAATATCAATATGAAAAGTTTAAAAAAGAAATTGTTAGAAATCTCAATTAGTTTTGTACGTACATTACATCCTTATTTTTGCTACATATTTAGAAAGTATAAGAAACTTTCTAATGGTCATGCTTAAAAAGGGTCATTATTGTTTTATATCAAATTTTTAACGCGTTGTTTATAATTTATATAATGTTTATAAAATTTGGGGGAAATGAAAAGGATGAAATTATGTTCTTATTTAAAAACTTATTTTGAAGGGGAAAATTATGTATTTTTTTAATATGTTTATAAAAATAAAAAATATATATATATTAGAAAATAATTCTCATGCTATACATTATTTTAGGTGTAAAGAAACTTATGAACTAAATGAATGAAAATAGAAAGTTAATTAATATACAAATATAGAAAATGATAGAGTAGATCTAATAAATATGATTTATAAATCTAAAGTATATAAATATTATTTATTAGTTGATAGTTTTTATTTTTTTTCCATAGTTTCTTCGCCATCAGTAGTCTTTTCTTTAAGTCTTTGTTTTATTAATTTTACAAAATCTACAGATTCATTTACTTTGAAAGTTCTTTCTAGATTTGTAGGAAAAAGTCTTTTATTTCTCTTATATATATCCTTTCTGTTATATTTAATATCACTTTTTATATTTACAGATTTAGACTCAGTACTATCTTGCAATCTATCTTCAACATTTCCATTTAACAATTTGTTATTTATAGGTGCAGATTTAAGATTTTCTTCCAAAGAAGAGACACATGTTTCTGATATCTCTTTTTTGTCATTCTTGTCATCATTATCCTGCTCCTGCTTGAATTTTTTAACAATAAATTCAGTACTGCATACTATAGCAACATTTTCATCTGAATTATCCAAAAATATTGTATCTTTATTAGCTATTCTGCCACCGTTTACATAAGCTGATATATTTTTACGTCTCCACATTTTAGAAGTGCTCGGTATAGATTGATTGCATTTTCTTTCCAAGAAAAATTCTTTTAAATCTACCTCCTTAATTTCACCCTTTAAAAATTGTAAATATTTCTTTAATGCAGTGTAAAAATGTAATTTGTCTGTCATTCGAGGAAAGTTAGCACAACGAGCACTGCTAGAAGGTACAACCCAAACAGCGGTATTTTCTATGTGTTCTGGTTGTAATCCATAATGAAAGGATGATTTACTGGTTTTATTCGCATAAACTTCATAAATACATTTTCCATTAAAGATAGCAATCTTTGGTTTAAATAACTTTATTTTTTCTTCGATAATTTTAGCACCTTCTTTAATTTCTGTTTTCTTTAAATCCGCAGAAGAACTGGTCGTTCTACTAACTATATTTGTTAATCCTATTCCGTATTGCAATAACTTATGATCCTCATCAAAATTCATGCATCTTGGCGTTAAGCCTGATTCATATAAAAGTTTATAAAAATGATTACCTGGACCTGCATAATATCTACCACGGTGTGCTGACATCAAACCTGGATTTATACCGATGAATACCATGTCAAGATTTTCTTCGAGGTAATCGGGTAGAGTATTCTTTAGTATTTCTTCCACAGTAAGTCCATTGAATCTGTTGACACTTTTTTTTGGTTTCTCAATTGCACTGGATGTCGTTCTTTTTCTTAATTTATTGAATGCAAGGGATGACATGATTCTCCAAAAAATCATCATTTAAATGTTATGACATGCATATATACATACACTTTTGTTTTGACATAACAAGGATTTTTTACTTTCATTCAATATTTCTTTATTACTGTCAGATAAAAATATCATGTCTTTATGAAGTAAGATAGTCTTCTTTTTTATTATACAATAGTATAATAATCATTTATTATAATGGAATAATAAAATATTCGTGTAAACAAAAAATAAATCAGCTGTTTTCATTCATTGTTATTTGCAATCCTTCTATATTCACAGGTTATGGCTCTCACTACATCCACGCATGCGTACATTCACGTATAAGCACATTTACGCATGCGCAAATTCGCGATAAGCACAATAGCGCATGCGTACATTCACGTATAAGCACATTTACGCATGCGCAAATTCGCGATAAGCACAGTAGCGCATGCGCACTTTCGCGTATACGCATATTAGCGCATGCGCAAATTCGCAAATACGCACCGTCCACGCGCACATTCGCGCATGCGCACATTGGCCATTTTGAAATTACTTTCGCGGTAGTGATAATCAGACGTAAACAAGTTTCCTTAGTGATTGCAATTAATAATATTTAATTATGTTATTTAATTTATCGATAAAGTTCTTCATTATTTATAGTGTTGATRAAATAAAATAAAATGAAGGTACGTATATAATGATTAATTAAATTACATTGAAAATTATTTCATCGATGTTAAACTAATAATTTATATATTTTTTAATTTTTATTTTTATAACCTCATTTTTTTTGTTAACTAAAATGTTGTTTTTTTAATTTGCTTATTTGTTTGTTCGATTGATTATAAGATATTCACATTCATTAATATTCTCGATTGGATGTTTCAGTGTGAATGAGGTTCATCAAGAATACGTGATATATCATGGCATTGGAGATAATTAGATAGTATGTTTGCATGATGCATTTATACTAATCTATCTGGTAGAGAGGCAGTGATCGTATCCGGATCGTGTTAGTTTTCCGGTCTGGTGAGTAGCTTCGACATCTGCATGTGTATAATTCATATCCACCTTTATGGGTTGATATTTGTAAAGAGAGAGAGAGAAAAAAAGAGAACAATAGAGAGAGGTAGGAAAAGTAAAAATAACAAACAATGTTCTTTACTATTTATATATCTGATCACTCAAATTATTTATTATAATTAAAAATTCATATCCTCAGATTAGAATTTGATTATTTGGGTATTCAGTGTAAGATTTCTTATCCTAGTATAAGATTTATTTATTATAACAAAAATCATAATGATACATATTTTGTTTAAATGGAAAAGGAAGATTCCTATGTGAATTAATAGATATTTGAAAAGATTGTTATTATTAATTACAAATAGTACGTGAATATCTGAATCTAAATCAAGCATGTAATCATGTATTTGGGTATGAATGATCTCTCATTCAAACTTACTTTTTAACAACAGCAATTTAAACTGTTATGGATGTATTTATACTATAGTTGATATATTTATTATCTCTGCTAATAAAACAAGTTTTCAGATAGTCAATTTAGCTACTCGAAATTGGACATTCCAAAATCCAATAAAACTTAATTAGCTAATAGATCATTATTTTATATTTTTTGTTTTATGTTACTATCCCAATTTGGATACCCAAAAATCAAAATAATCCTGTGAATTTGATTAGATTTTTAGCTTCCTATTATTTTGTAATCCTTTATTATTTTTTCTTTATTATACTTCTTATTAATTCTTTTCATAGGTATCAATATCAACTTTATTATTACACATCAGTAAAAAAAAGCATCAGAATACGAGTGTATGCATTAGCTGGACTGAAACCAGACGAATCGTTACAGTTGGACTCTTCTAGTTTTCTCTTTTTCTCTCTCTTTCTAAATCTAACATATACGTAATACATATATACTCATATGTAGTACATACACACATATACATATGTATGAATGTATGTACATATACTGAACGAGCACGTTCCACTCTTCGTGTCACTCGAAGAGAATAAGCGAGACACGTAAAAGCTCACTGTGCTTTCTCACTGAACGGAGATACTATTTGTAAACTAGGATTAAATTCCAGCCAAGTTAAGAGGGAAAAGTAGGTGGAGAGAATCGAGTGGATACACGCGAACGTAATTCACGTCGTTCGACTTTTCTTTCTATTCGCTTTTATTTTTTTTTTTTAGTTTTAGTTTTAGTTTTATTTCTATTTCTTATCCTTTTTGTTTTATTCCTTTTTTATTCGCACCACTGACCACACGGTTAAGCGGTTTAATTCTACTTTCGGATTCGTCGAGATCACATGTATGAACATTTGCACAAATTTCACCATGACTTATTTCTGAAAGAGGATTTGATATTTTGTCTATTCACCATTGTAATGGGAAATTTTATGTTTTATTTTTTATTTTTGGGTTTTTTTTTTTTAATAATGTATGTACATAGTTGACGCGTGAACTATTTTCATATTTAAATTTATGATATAAATTCGCATTTTTCATAATAATGGCTTATAGATAATCGATTTATTGGGTGTTTTCATATTTAGTTTAGTCAAATGATCGGGAAGAAAATTGGAAATGAACGATTTCACTTGGAATTATCTAAAACTAAATATCAAAGTTTATGAATTTCCTTTTTGTTACACGTAGGTTGCCTCAAAAGATATTTCTCGTAAAAAGAATATGTCTTCTTACTTCTTTTTCCTCTTCATTTTTTTCTTTTATCTTTTTTTCTTTCCTTTCTTTACTGCAGCATAGGGATGTACCTGCTATTCTTGAGAATTTCCCTTTTTTTCTTCTTCTTTTTCTTTATATTATACCCATGCTTCGAGTTTTCGAATATTCGTCGTAGAAATTTCAAGATTTTGTCACGTTTTACTTTCTAAAGAATAAAATATGAAAAACCTCGAATTATAAAGCTTAAAAATAAATAAATAAAAAAAACATTCGGGCGGTTCTACAATTGCTATGAAATATTGAAAGCAAGATGTAAACATTTCTACTTATCATTTGTTTTTTTCTTTTTTTCTAATCTAACAATAAGATTAGAAACGTTCACATTCTTAATTCGTTGTTTGAATTATTTCTCACAAAAAAGATATGGATGGAAGGGGGGGGGTGGTAATAAATTACCTAATGGTAGTAAAATTAGAAATGATAAATGAATGACCATGTCGTGATTTGATATACTAATCCAACAGATATATTTTTTTAATAAACCCCCCCTATCCAGGATGCAATTATTTTTGTAAAGTTATTCAGATTTAAATGGTTACATCTGCAGAAACGAAATTACCTTAGTCACTCGACGGAAGCGACAACCGTTTCGTTGGTTTTATCGTTCGGAATTGTCGTAGGAGCGTTGCGTCAGCGTGTCACATCCATCACTATTGCGAAACACCCTGTGAACCAGGGGTTCAACCACCTACACTCGTCCTTTACCACCCTGTTTATTCTCTCTCTCTCTCATTCTCACGTTCCTTTACTATCTCTCACTGTATTTATCTATTCCTCTCTACCTATCCATTCGTCGATCCACCCTTACCCCATTTATCTGTCCATCTATCCATTTCAAATTTCTCTCGATTTTACCTAACATTCTGTACTATTTGTAAGCAGTTAGAATTTACTATGTTTTTTTCTTTTTTTTTTTTTTGTTCAACTTCATTGTTCTTTTTTTCTTTTTTTTTTTTTTGATCGATTGTGAGATTTCTTTTCCCTCTTTTTTTCTTTTCTTTTTCATCGTTTGACAAAAAAAAAAACAACAACATAACAGTAATATAGTTTATGATTTAGTTTCGTAAAATCTATTTTCAAATTTCTTGATACTTTCAACCTCACGTTTCCATTCATTATTAAAATTATGATCCTAGAGTTATAAAGCCAAATGCATTTTAGTTTTGTTAGGAATGCGAATGAGGGTTGCGTATTGTATTCCGTCGCGACATGGCGAGACATTGCGTCTCGCGAATCGAATACCATTCGTGTCGTTATGAGAATGAGAAGAAGAAGAAGAAGAAGAAGAAGAAGAAGAAGAAGAAGAAGAAGAAGAAGAAGAAGAAGAAGAAGAAGAANTGAGAAGAAGAAGAAGAAGAAGAAGAAGAAGAAGAAGAAGAAGAAGAAGAAGAAGAAGAAGAAGAAGAAGAAGAAGGAAAGAAGGAAGGGAAAGTGGTTGTACGCATTTAAAATTTTATTTTAATTGGACGATAAAAGAACAACAAAAAAGATTGTTCGTTCTATTAATTATTAACCCATTCGAGACCACTTGCACACCGTATGTGCAATCATACTTAGCTGTTATCAATTATTTTAAGTAAATTATTTAATTTTATATTGTATAAATAATATCTTTAAAATATAGAGAAACTAAATTTGCCATTGTAAAATTGGCAATATAATTAAAAAAAAAAAAACAAGAAATGGCTACTTGAACCGTGTTCGAAAAAAAATCGTGGTCTTGAATGGGTTAACAGACAGGATCATGCAATTTTATCGAAAAAAATTAATATTTATTTTGGTAAATATTATTATTCTATTTCTTTTTAATTGAATAAATTTTTGTGTTTTATTTATTTTTTTTTTGTATTTTTTGCAGAACAAACAAGCCACAAAAAATATATTGTATGTAATATCAACACAAATACGAGCATTCAAATTCGAATGTACCAACGATATTGGAACCTACCAATAGAAAATTATTGTTAATCCTCTCTTTTAATTGTCAACAAATAACGAATTAATATTATTTTAAATCCGGTATATACTTATTCCCCCTATTTACCCGAATAAGTATTCATTGAATTTGAGATTCCTCAAAAACAAGCCAAGTCTTTTGGTTATTCATTCGATTGGAGCCCACCCCCTACCCTGGCCTACTTTAGCCGCATGCTAAAACACATTTCTATGCATTTGGTTCGTAATTTATTTCCGGTAACGAAGTTCTAAATATTATCCGATAGTCGGTATGCTGCTGCATTATTCGATTCGAGACGAGGCATATCGAGAGTTTCGAAAAGCGGGCAATCAGGGAACACATACTCCTCTCACCTCACCATTGCTAAAACCATTGTTTGTTGACTTTCATTCGAAAAAGGAGTGTTTGCTTACGACCAAATGCTGTCTGTATTTTCTGCTAGCACG